AAATATCTTCCAGCATCAGGCTCACCAGTGACCAAAGATATACTTTAGCAACCTCCTCAAGAGTTTTTTTTCCTGCGTCTTTTTAATGTGAATTTGGTTGCTATAGCAACAGCCAAGCTCTGCTGAAGGAGAGCTTCCTTGTGTAATGAGCCTGGAAGTCCTTAAGATGAATATAGACAGCCTTTGCTGTTTTAAGCCTAAAAAATTTTTTCCCTACCTACCAGTTACTAGGAAATATTTGTAGTATTTTGATCATGTCGATCATAAAACGAATCTGACTTATTATATATCTTTTTAAACACCTGGCTAAATTGGCCATATAGAGAGCTTTGGGTTCCTGCGTCCCTGGGTCACACTGGAGTCTGGAAAAAAATTGATCAATCACAAGCATCACCATCCTAGATTCTTATTCTTGCTTCCCAGTTTTATTCGAGTCAAATTATTGCTCTTCTCAAGCCCTTCTCAGGGCCTGCTAAATCAAATAAAACTCCTGAATTGGACGTTGGAGCCTTCTAATAATTGATCCCCCTACAAACTACTATAACTTTCTCTGGTTCTAGCTCATTGGGTATGGTGTTTATGCCAGTTTGTACCCTTCCTTTGGAGCATTACCCCTGTCCCACTCAATAATATTGATGGGTCTCTGTGGTGGGGATAATATGCCTCAGTCCTCAAGCCTGGCCAGACTGAGATTTATCTGGAATTTTTGTCAGAGCTACATGGGAAGACACTCTTTTTTTTCTAATATGTTTTTATTGATTTCAGAGGGAGAAAGGGAGAGGGAGAGAGAGATAGAAACATCAGTAATGAGAGAGTCATTAATCATTCCCCTACTGGGTGCATTCCCCTACTGGGGACTGAGCCTGCAATCCGGGCATGTGCCCTAACCAGGAATCGAACAGTGACCTCCTGGTTCATGGGCTGACGCTCAATCACTGAGCCACACCGGCCAAGCAGAAGATACTCTTTTGGTACAGAGGCTGATAAGTTGGTAAACTATGAATCTTAGGCCATGATGCCCAACATGTGAGAAAATCCTCTCTTAGTCTGTTTGGGCTACTATAACATACTAGCACAGACTGGGTGGCTTAAACAATAGAAATTCATTTTCTCATAGTTCTGGAGCCTGGAAGTCCAAGATCCAGGTGCCAGCAGGATTGTTGTCTGGTTAGGCATCTCTGCCTGGCTTATAGATGGCTAACTTCTTGCTTTATTTTCACCTGCCATTTCCTCTGTATGTGCACAATCCTGGTGTCTCTTCCTCTTCTAATAAGGGCACCAATCTTACTTGATTAGGACCCCAACTTATGACCTCATTTAGCCTTAATTATTTCCCTAAAGGCCCTATCTCCAAGTATAGTCATATTGGGAGTGTCAGCACATGAATTTTGGGGGCATACAATTCAGATCCCATAGAAGAAATGGAGTGAAATGTGGAGTCCCAGTGGCATTGTTTTAGGCCCTGGGTGTAGCAAATCAACCCCACCCTTCTAAATATTTTGTTTTCTTTGCAATTTTTAAAAATTGATTATTTAAACACATGTACATAACAACCATTGCTAAGATATGACCATTGTTAAGAAAAATGACTAAAGGTGTTTTTGTGTGTTAGAAATNAGGTATAGTAAATCAACCCCACCCTTCTAAATATTTTGTTTTCTTTGCAATTTTTTAAATTGATTATTTAAACACATCTACATAACAACCATTGCTAAGAAATGACCATTGTTAAGAAAAATGACTAAAGGTGTTTTGGTGTGTTAGAAATCAACAAAAACACTCTTGCTATTATAAATTGAGCAGAAATATCATGATCTATATTTTTTTTTTACATTGCATCTTAACCAAAGATATATTTAGCTTAGACATCGCCATTATTTTACACATGTGAGGGTGGCCTTAAGAAAAACTCTGCTGCCTTAGTACTTTCCTTAAGCACAATATTTTATTTTATTTTTCATTAACCTTCACCCGAGGATATTTTTTCCATTGATTTTTAGAAAGAGTGGAAGGAAGGAGGACAAGGGGGAGAGAGAGAGAGAGAGAGAAACATTTATGTGAAAGAAACACATCAATTGGTTGCCTCTTGCACACGCCCAACCAGGGTGGGTATTAAANCAAGGGGGAGAGAGAGAGAAACATTTATGTGAAAGAAACACATCAATTGGTTGCCCCTTGCACATGCCCAACCAGGGTGGGTATTAAACCGGCAACCTAGGTATGTGCCCTTGACCAGGAATCAAATCTGTGACCCTTCAGNGGACAAGGGGGAGAGAGAGAGAGAGAGAGAAACATTTATGTGAAAGAAACACATCAATTGGTTGCCTCTTGCACACGCCCAACCAGGGTGGGTATTAAACCTGCAACCTAGGTATGTGCCCTTGACCAGGAATCAAATCTGTGACCCTTCAGTGCACGGACTGACGCTCTAACCAGACAGGGCCTTAAGCACAACTATTAGAAGACTAACTTGTTCTCATATCTCATACCTTGTCATTAAGCAGAGACGAAAAAACTCTGGAATTCAACAAGAATATGTGTGCTTACCACTTCTGAAAGCTGATTCTAAAAGCTTCTACTTTTAAGTAGAAATGATAATACTCATTCCCTTTCCATATATACATTCCCAAGCCAGTTGTCTAAACTTAAAGTATTAATATATTTAGAGCTTAAAATTCATAATACTTATGGTACTCAATTTGAGATGGAAAAAAAGACACAGAGACTAGCTAAATCATATCTCCCCATATTTGCCCCAATCCATGTCTATGGCTGAAANTTGAGATGGAAAAAAAAGACACAGAGACTGGCTAAATCATATCTCCCCATATTTGCCCCAATCCATGTCTATGGCTGAAACCTAGCTTTTAAGCCAATTTATCTGGGTGACAAGATACAATTGAGGGGAAAAAAGTAAAATTTACAGTAGAGTTTATGTCTTATCTATAGAAAAATACTACCAAATTTATTTATTACTTAACCCTTAACACAGGGGAAAACTTCCATTCAGCTGTGCTAAATATGGAGCTCTAAATTCTGAGCTTCTNGGATACAATTGAGGGGGAAAAGGTAAAATTTACAGTAGAGTTTATGTCTTATCTATAGAAAATACTACCAAATTTATTTATTACTTAACCCTTAACGCAGGGGAAAACTTCCATTCAGCTGTGCTAAATATGGAGCTCTAAATTCTGAGCTTCTTAAGGACAGAAAGTGTGCCCTGATCTCTCTTTATGTCTCCTGCACCTACTATCTTGCTTGGCCCAGATTCAGGAATCAAGAGATATGTTTCAGTCCTGGCCAGATAGCTCAGTTTGTTGGAGAGTTATCCCGATACACCAAGATCGCATGTTTAGTCCCCAGTCAGGGCATGTAGAGGAGGCAACCAAGGGATGCATAAATGAGTGGAACAACAAATCTATGTTTCTCTCTCTTACTCCGTTCCTCTCTCTCTAGAATCAATAAATTTCTTTAAAAAGAGATATTTTTTAATAAATAAGATAAAGACATAATTACAACCTTAAATGATAATGGCAATGGCAACTTATTAAAGATGTGTCTGATGAGCCTGAAATACCCCCAATTTTCAACCCAGACTCCCAACGGGTGTGTGATAGAATGGGGTTGCTTCTGAGATGCCATGACTAAAGTGTTATGTCTACATGTTTGTTTATAAGTTTAGCTTAAAACTAAATTTTATGACTAAACTAAACGTTATGACTAAAGTTTAAAACTAAATTAGTTTTATGACCAAAGATGGTTTTGGAAGCACCATCAGATTGAATGTCAGAAAATCTGGGTTCTTGTCTGGGGAATTCCACAAACAAACTGTCTAACATTGTGCCAGTTGCTTAATCTCTCTGTGTCTCTTTTCGCTCTTCAATAGATAAAAGTTTAATTAAGTGCTTCCAAATACTCTAACAGTTCATTAACAATTAATTTGAAAATGAAAAATTTTAAAGCACCTGCAAAGAAGTTGAAATCTACCTCTCCAAATGGATTTCCTAAAAATTCGTCAGCTCCCACCAGCCTACCCTGTATGCTGGCTTCTGCCCCATTCCTTCCACTGAGATTTCCTCCCTGCCCTTCTCACCTCTCCAGTTACTCACCATCCTCACGACCCAGACCAATGTCTGTCTCCTTAGAGCCACACACATCGGGAGTTTATGTGGAGTGTATGTGGCCCCTCAAGGACAGAGCATAACTTACTGTTTTGGGTGCTGTCCCCAGCCCTCCCCCACCATATTGCAGAGCCCGGCATGGAGGAAAAGGAATATTGTGGCTTTCCCCTCCCTTCCCTCCCTCAGGATTTCATAGCCTTAAGTCTGCTCAACCCAAGACCCCAAGATTCCAAGCAAGTAAAGAGACTGAAGACCTTTGTCCCACAAGTTAGTCACGGAGTAGGCCGGAGTTTCTGGCACCTGTTGCCTCTTGTCTGTTTTGAACCTGCACATGGTCCTGGACTTGTTTAGGGGGCATTTGGAGTGGGTCATGCCAGGCTTAACTGTCAGCTGGCTTCTGCGTCTCACTGCCAACATGCATAGTCCTCAGGAAGACAACTGAAGAGTCCAAGAATTGAGAACTTAAGCTAATTTACAAAAAATAATCTTTGACTTTCTCACTACCAATATATATGTGCTCTCTGCAAAGTTACAAAAACAGCTGCAACACATGCTCAAACAATAATTTTCACTATCCTTCATGGAAACTAATCTTAGAGAACTGTTTTAATTTCATTTCTTGCATATCTGAAGTTAAACCTAATCTACGTTTCAGATATGAAATACGTTCATGAATCTATCCCAAAGTGTAAAATCAAAATTCAGTGTCATAACTCCCAGCTCAGTGTCACACTAACCCATCTGATGATCTTTGTGGTCCTGTCATATGACAATGTACACAGTGTCAAAGCCGTCAATCTAGGAGTTCACAGTCTGAAATACACGAGCACTGGCTGTACCCCAAGCCTGCCCCCCAAAAGGAAGTAAAAGAGGCTTTTGTAGGTTGCAAGTCCTGGTCTGGTTTATTTATAAAGCAATAAATATTAGAAGCACAAATAAATTGCACGTGTGTAAACAAACTGTACAATGGTTGATGAGAGATGAGGGAGGGTGGGTCGGGAGACTCCAAGAAGCATAACACTGTCATCCTGAATGTAAGGTAGACTAAGGGAGGAGGCCCCTCAGAAGCATTTGCGGTGGACAATGGATGGGCCTGCCTCGTCGTACTCCTGCTTGCTGATCCACATCTGCTGGAAGGTGGACAGGGAGGCCAGGATGGAGCCCCCGATCCAAACAGAGTACTTGCGCTCGGGGGGAGCAATAATCTGCGGAAAGAAAACAAACACTTCCAGGGACCTCTGAAGTTCCAAGCAACAGAGCAAGCCACACGTTGGAGAGACTCACAGAAAAATATCAGCTATTGGTTCACTGTAACGTCAGACACTTCATACCACAAATTAATATGGCTGCGTCAAGTAACTTTTCCTCTACATTATTTGTGTCATCAAAGACTTTACAAATAGAGTTCCCACTTCTCTGAACTCAAGCGCAATGTGGCAACAAGCTAAAAAACACTTCTCTGAACTTGAGTATAATGTGGCAACAAGCTAAAAGCCTCAAAGTTGGGAACTTTTAAAATGTGTTCAAAGATTTAGGTGGTGTGTTTTTTTCTTCAAAGATTTGTTTTTATCCACTGCTTTAAAGCACTTAAAAAGTCCCCTATCTTGGGAAAGGTGCTAGCAAAATCAGAACAAAAAAGTGCTAGAAAAAGTGCTAGAGAAGCTAAAAGATAAAGTTTTTAGTAGACAGGAAGCTCAGTGTAAGGGGAAAGGAGTTAGGAATATGTGCTGCTTGGAATATCAAGACCTGCTTGGGCTCCCCCAGGCGCAGAAGTCTTTACCTTAATCTTCATGGTGCTGGGAGCCAGGGCAGTGATTTCCTTTTGCATGCGATCAGCAATCCCAGGGTACATAGTGGTACCTCCAGATAAGACATTGTTGGCATACAGGTCCTTGCGGATATCAATGTCACACTTCATGATGCTATTATAAGTTGTTTCATGGATGCCAGCAGATTCCATACCTAAGAACAAGTTTTAAAAAAAATCACAGTGCACTTGGGCCCGGGGGCCACGGTGGAGGGGTGAGAACAGGACTCCTCTGTGTTGGTAAACCATCACCATTTGTCTCTGAAACATATGTTCCTTTATTAGAGACACTGAAGGCATTTGGGGAACAGGTGTCCCTAAACGTGCTCACAGTTAGGCCACAAAGACTGCCAAGAAACGAACAATTGTATCTAGCACCTGTTTGGAGTGAACACTTGCTGTATCCACCAGATATATGAAGATGTATTGGCAAATAATAAGACACACATTTAAGTTAAATTCATGCAAGTTTTATTTAGGGACCAAAATAAGATCCTCACAAGCTTCTTCCTGTAAATCATTCCTTAGGTAAGATGTTTGGTGGCATATACATGTCACTCCAGTTATTCCTAAGTGTTGCATTCAACAATGAGTAACTTAAAAGGAAAGTCCAGCTACTTGGTAATGAAGCTTATTGGAATAAACAGCACTCTTGAGTAATCGCCCCTTTCCTGCAGATGTGGATTATTCAGTTCCTACTCTGTCTCATCCTTTCTTTTGAGATAAAGCCTGGGTGTCATCCTTTCATTATTTCACTACAACAGAACAGTGACGGCCATCCCTTTAATGAGCCATCCGAACCTGAGACTGAGCCGCATGGGACTCCCAAGATACGATATCTTTTCACTCAAGGGCCCATTAGCCCTTCTTCATCGCAATAGATTTTAACTCTGGGACCTCCCTCCCCAGATCTGCAGGGAAAAGCTGCGCCTCCGCAGCAGGCCCTACAACTCACCGATGAAGGAGGGCTGGAAGAGCGTCTCGGGGCAGCGGAAGCGCTCGTTGCCGATAGTGATGACTTGGCCATCAGGCAGCTCGTAGCTCTTCTCCAGGGAAGACGAAGAAGCGGCTGTGGCCATCTCATTCTCAAAATCCAGAGCAACATAGCACAGCTTCTCTTTAATGTCACGGACAATTTCACGTTCAGCTGCAGAAATAAAGGGTAGCCCTGTCAAGCTCTGAAGAAGGAAGTCAGCTGTGGGAGGTGGATGCACTCGCTGGTGAAGGAAAGAAGCAGACACATGCTATAGCACATGAGGTGCACACACTCACCCGTGGTGACAAAGGAGTAGCCACGCTCGGTGAGGATCTTCATGAGGTAGTCAGTGAGATCCCGACCAGCCAGGTCCAGGCGCATGATGGCATGGGGCAAGGCATAGCCCTCATAGATGGGGACATTGTGGGTCACACCATCCCCAGAGTCCAGAACAATGCCTGTCGGGGGAAAGAGACAAGCCTAAGGTAAATCCCTGATGACGACACCGCTTTTAGCCGAGTCGAAGCCTCCTTCCAATCTTGGCTAAGATAAACTAGCACTGGGCACGGATCCAGATAAAATTAGATCCCTTACGCACGGAGAATAAAAATGAGCATCATGAATGCTAAATCTGAAGCCAGCCATAGCTCATCCTTTTAAATATTATAGTAGAAAAATTTCCCCAGAACACTTTCAAATGACCATCCCTTTCATCAGTACATTATGTAAGTGTCCGGATGTGATTTTCTTTCCCCCCATCTTACTTACACGTGTTTCTCTCTCTTTTGACTCAGACCCCGTGGGGAATGTGGGCTCTCCCTGGGGCTGTTTGCCCAGGGGCTGTGATGGCATGAACACATGCCGATGACTGCGGCATTCCAGGCCGATACATTGTACGGAGGCTCACCATGTGACATCACATCGTTTCAACTCTTAGAAACCCATGCGCTCTGCAACTAACCTCGGGATATTACGGCTTCCTTTCTCTCCCAGCACTGACGCCTTCCCATGGAGTATGAGAGAAGGGTCATTCCTTTTCAGTTGGGGAAACTGATTCACAGCAAGGTCAGTGACTTGGGAATGTGATTAATCAGTGTCCCCAGAGCCCAAACATACCTGTGGTACGGCCAGAAGCATACAGGGACAGCACTGCCTGGATGGCCACATACATGGCGGGGACATTGAAGGTCTCAAACATGATCTGGGTCATCTTCTCACGGTTGGCCTTGGGGTTCAGCGGGGCCTCGGTGAGCAGAGTGGGGTGCTCCTCGGGGGCCACGCGGAGCTCATTGTAGAAGGTATGGTGCCAGATCTTCTCCATGTCATCCCAGTTGGTGATGATGCCATGCTCAATGGGGTACTTGAGAGTCAGGATACCTCGCTTGCTCTGGGCTTCGTCTCCTACATAGGAATCCTTCTGACCCATACCCACCATGACTCCCTATAGGAAGAGAAAGATGGTAAGATCAAGCTTCTCCCATGTCAGGGGTATTACTGATGCCGTATAAATTTACGTCTAACTGCCCAAGTCAAGGAATACCTCATGAAGACCAGAAACAACAAACAATAGGATTTCACCCCAATTTAGAAATATCACTTCAAATCAGTCTAGTACCTATCCCCCCCACTCCTCCCTCCTAAAAAAAGGTATAATTCTATTATTTAGAATATAGCGGGGGGGGG